AAAAAATAAAAGACTTATTTATTCTCGTCATTTCTGCTTCTTTTCCCCCAGGAGTTCCCAGGGAAGGAAGAAAAAATGTCGGTGTCACTACAGAATTACCATACTTTTTTCCGAGAGCTAGACATTGAGGTGTTCTCTATTCTGCATTGTGGACTTGTGACCAAGTTCATCTTAGACACTGAAATGCACACCGAAGTAAGTAACAGATTGGGATCTCAGAACTAATCTTTCAGAGAGTTCTTCAGCTCTACTCTTATTTTACAAAGAACACTGACATTAAGAGAAGTTAGGCTCTGACTTTAAAAGCCTTTATATCTGAAAGTATGAATAATCATCCTCATCATCCCGTTTATAAGTCTTAAGTTTTTTATACTGTGTTAGACATTATAAAATATGTTGCTGATGAGTGATTCTTACCTTAGGTTACTAATAATAGGCTACTTAGATTATTTTTATAGAGGAACACTGTTCTGGTTTATAGTGGTCAATGCTGTTTTCACTTTTTCATGACATTTGTTCAGCATCCAGCAGATGCTCACTGAGGCCTTTTTTGTGTTTGCCATTAATCTAGACAATAGCAATTCAGTAGTGTGTATAGCATGATCCTTGCCTTAAAATAGCACATAATCGGCCGGGCACAGTGGCTCATGCCTGTAATCCTAGCACTTTGGGAGGCTGAGGCAGGAGGATCACTTAAAGTCAGGAGTTCAAGACCAGCCTGAGCAAGAGTGAGACCCTGTCTCTACAAAAAATAGAAAAATTAGCCAGGCCGTGGTGGGACACGCCTGTAGTCCCAGCTACTCGGGAGGCTGAGGCAAGAGGATCGCTTGAACCCAGTAGTCTGAGGTTGCAGTGAGCTGTGATGACACCATTGCACTCTAGCCTGGGTGACAGAGCAAGACCCTGACTCAAAAAAAAAAAAAGCTCATAATCTAATCTACTCTATTGATGCCATGTGCTACATTAATGATCTGAACCAAGTACCAGTGAAACTCTGAGAGAATGATATTTATAATGAAGTTGGGAGTAGAGGACAGTTTCACAGAAAAAAAATAATTTTTGATGTGGGATTTCACGAGAGAGTAAAATTTCTCAAGGTTAAAAAAAAATAACATGGCCGGGCGCGGTGGCTCACGCCTGTAATCCTAGCACTCTGGGAGGCCGAGGCGGGTGGATCATTTGAGCTCAGTAGTTCGAGACCAGCCTGAGCAAGAGCGAGACCCTGTCTCTACTAAAAATAGAAAGAAATTGGCCAAACAACTAAAAATAGAAAAAGTTAGCTGGGCATGGTGGCGCGTGCCTGTAGTCCCAGCTACCTGGGAGGCTGAGGCAGGAGGATCACTTGAGCCCAGGAGTTTGAGGTTGCTGTGAGCTAGGATGACACCACGGCACTCTCACTTGCCTAGTCCAGGCAAGGAGTGAGACTCTGTCTCAAAAAAAAAAAAAGTTCTGTTCGATCTGCTTTATATTATAATTTCCTTTCACTTTTCTCTATGAACCCAGATTTTAAGCATTATTTTATGTGTATTGCTTAAGGCTTTAAAGAATAAATAATTTATCCAGGGTTTTATATATTAGTGTAGTCCTTGTTTTTCTTGGCATACATGAAAGGCCAACAGTTCCATTTTGGGGCTCCCTTCTGCCTGGGCTTTCTCCATACAAAGACATAGTTTTGTACCAAGATGCTTGAGAGAAAGTTATTACTAAAGCTCGTGAAAATGAGCAGGATTCTAATTAGGCCATCAAACACTTAAAGGGTACTTGGGCAACTCATGTGGATGTAAACATATCTGTAATACATGTGATACTATTGTGTTTTTTGCTTTTTGTTTTTTTTTCTTGTCTCTTTACAGCCAGAGCTTCCATTACTTGCAGAATTTCCATCACAGCATTCCTAGTTTCCAGTGTGCTCTTTATCTCATCAGACTTTTGATGGTCATTTTGGAGAAATCTACAGCTCCTGCTCAGAACAAAGAAAAAATTGGTGATGGGATCCTCTTTTTTTTCTTTTTTCATGAATAGGATTAATATCTGAGGCATCCCAGGACTTTGTACATTTTTCCATGTAAATCCCTATGTAACCTTGGACATGCCCTCTTGCTATACCAACAAGGACCCAGAAGAAGCTATGACTGATTTGGCTGACACTGCTTAGCCTGAGTTTGGTTAGATCAGCTGGTTAGATAATTTTCCGTTTAATCATGTTCTTCCTTTTTTTTTTTTTTCTTTTTAATTATCTGAGACATTTGGCAAAAAGAGA